GGGCCGGATGTAAAGGTAGCCAAAATTGATAGCAGCAGCAAGAGGAAAAAGGAGCCAAAAGCGTCATTTTCTATGGGTTTCAGAAGTTACGTTAGGCATTTTCGGGGTGCAATTTTGGGGCTTCTCCGTCCTTCAGAGGCATGGTGTTTCGCCCCCGGGAGGTGATTTTTTCCATTGTGTTTTCCTATTTGGGGACCGGATGTAGAGGCAGCTAAAATTCATAGCAGCAGCAAGAGGAAAAAGGAGCCAAAAGCATCATTTTCTATGGGTTTCAAAAGTTACGTTAGGCATTTTCGGGGTGCAATTTTGGGGCTTCTCCGTCCTTCAGAGGCATGGTGTTTCGCCCCCGGGAGGTGATTTTTTCCATGATGTTTTCCTATTTGGGGACCGGATGTAAAGGTAGCTAAAATTCATAGCAGCAGCAAGAGGAAAAAGGAGCCAAAAGCATCATTTTCTATGGGTTTCAAACGTTACGTTAGGCATTTTCGGGGTGCAATTTTGGGGCTTCTCCGTCCTTCAGAGGCATGGGGTGATTTTTTCCATGGTGTTTTCCTATTTGGGGACCGGATGTAAAGGCAGCTAAAATTCATAGCAGCAGCAAGAGGAAAAAGGAGCCAAAAGCATCATTTTCTATGGGTTTCAGAAGTCATGTTAGGCATTTTTGGGGTGCAATTTTGGGGCTTCTCCGTCCTTCAGAGGCATGGTGTTTCGCCCCCGGGAGGTGATTTTTTCCACGGTGTTTTCCTATTTGGGGACCGGATGTAAAGGTAGCTCAAATTCATAGCAGCAGCAAGAGGAAAAAGGAGCCAAAAGAGGAAAAAGGAGCCAAAAGCATCATTTTCTATGGGTTTCAGAAGTTACGTTAGGCATTTTCGGGGTGCAATTTTGGGGCTTCTCCGTCCTTCAGAGGCATGGTGTTTCGCCCCCGGGAGGTGATTTTTTCCATGGTGTTTTCCCATTTGGGGAACGGATGTAAAGGTAGCTAAATTTCATATCAGCAGCAAGAGGAAAAAGGAGCCAAAAGCATCATTTTCTATGGGTTTCAGAAATTATTTAGGCATTTTCGGGGTGCAATTTTGGGGCTTCTCCGTCCTTCAGAGGTATGGTGTTTCCTTGCCGGGAAGTGATTTTTTCCATGGTGTTTTCCTATTTGGGGACCGGATGTAAAGGTAGCTAAAATTCATGGCACAGCAAGAGGAAAAAGGAGCCAAAAGCATCATTTTTTATGGGTTTCAGAAGTCACGTTAGGCATTTTCGGGGTGCAATTTTGGAGCTTCTCCGTCCTTCAGAGGCATGGTGTTTCGCCCCCGGGAGGTGATTTTTTTCATTGTCTTTTCCTATTTGGGGACCGGATGTAAAGGTAGCTAAAATTCATGGCAGCAGCAAGAGGAAAAAGGAGCCAAAAGCATCATTTTCTATGGGTTTCAGAAGTCACGTTAGGCATTTTCGGGGTGCAATTTTGGGGCTTCTCCGTCCTTCAGAGGCATGGTGTTTCGCCCCCGGGAGGTGATTTTTTCCATGGTGTTTTCCTATTTGGGGACCGGATGTAAAGGTAGCTAAAATTCATAGCAGCAGCAAGAGGAAAAAGGAGCCAAAAGCATCATTTTCTATGGGTTTCAAAAGTTACGTTAGGCTTTTTATTCATAGCAGCAGCAAGAGGAAAAAGGAGCCAAAAGCATCATTTTCTATGGGTTTCAAAAGTTACGTTAGGCATTTTCGGGGTGCAATTTTGGGGCTTCTCCGTCCTTCAGAGGCATGGTGTTTCGCCCCCGGGAGGTGAATTTTTCCATGGTGTTTTCCTATTTGGGGACCGGCTAAAATTCATAGCAGCAGCAAGAGGAAAAAGGAGCCAAAAGCATCATTTTCTATGGGTTTCAGAAGTAACGTTAGGCATTTTCGGGGTGCAATTTTGAGGCTTCTCCGTCCTTCAGAGGCATGGTGTTTCGCCCCGGGAGGTGATTTTTTCCATGGTGTTTTCCTATTTGGGGACCGGATGTAAAGGTAGCTAAAATTCATAGCAGCAGCAAGAGGAAAAAGGAGCCAAAAGCATCATTTTCTATAGGTTTCAGAAGTTACGTTAGGCATTTTCGGGGTGCAATTTTTGGGCTTCTCCGTCCTTCAGAGGCATGGTGTTTCGCCCCCGGGAGGTGATTTTTTCCATGGTGTTTTTCTATTTGGGGACCGGATGTAAAGGTAGCTAAAATTCATAGCAGCAGCAAGAGGAAAAAGGAGCCAAAAGCATCATTTTCTATTGGTTTCAGAAGTTACGTTAGGCATTTTCGGGGTGCAATTTTGGGGCTTCTCCGTCCTTCAGAGGCATGGTGTTTCGCCCCGGGAGGTGATTTTTTCCATGGTGTTTTCCTATTTGGGGACCGGATGTAAAGGTAGCTAAAATTCATAGCAGCAGCAAGAGGAAAAAGGAGCCAAAAGCATCATTTTCTATGGGTTTCAGAAGTTACGTTAGGCATTTTCGGGGTGCAATTTTGGGTCTCCGTCCTTC